AGTGCTGGCATATGTGTAACTAGCAGGAAGAATATTGAATTCTTTTAAGTACCCGATTATATTTGTCCCTTTGTTGTCTCCTCTTATCCTTCCTCTGAAGTTTACTTGTTGGTGTTTTTCTTTAACTGCTTTGGGATCTTGCCAGGTTAAGCTGCAAGTTTCTTAAAAGTTTCCTAGAGTAGCTTAGGGACCAAGCCCCCAAAACCTAAACCCACTACCATCAAGCCGATTCCAATTGATAGCCTCCTCTGTCGTTTCCGAGACTGTAAATCTTTAAGGGAGTAGAAAGAGCCTCATTTTTCTCCTGTGGACTGGTGCTCTGCTGACTCTACAGTTAATAGCTCAATGTTAAACCCACAACACCAAATATTTTTGGTACAGTGACTATGTTCCATCATTTTCTGCATTTTGGCTCTGTAGGATTGGTGCTAAACTGCTGGTAGAAATTCAAACCCACTAGCTACTCAGAGGGAGAACGTTAAGGCTTTTTTCCTTTATAGTAAAGATTTACAGTCTCAGAAACCTTATACAGGTTCTCTGTGAATTGGATTCAACCTGATGGCAATGAATTTTTTCTGTTCTGCATTATTCAGTTTAATCTTTCATAGAATCTTTAAGACTGAAGTCTTAAATTTTTTCTTTAATTCTTTCAGTTTAAGAAATGCCAAGTGTGTTTTTCTCTTTTAGTTTTCAAATTCCAGGTCTTTGCATCTTTCATTATTACACTTTATTTTGTCTTCTGGAGCCACCCTCTGAAATCTTCTGTTCAGCTCTTTTACTTGATCATTTCTTTCATTTGCCTTAGAAGATCTATGTTAAAGAGTAAGTTTCAGAGTCTCTTCTGATGTCCATTTTGGTCTTTTCTTTCTTTACTGTCTTTTTAATGATCATTTGCTTTCTTTATGTGTGGTTCCCTGGATGTCATATCACAACTCATGTCTTTGGTCATTATTGTTAGTGCATCAAGTTTGTTCTTGAGATTGTGTCTATATTCAAGTGGTATATAGTCAGGGTCAAAGTTCTCGTGTGGCACTGTAGGATAAGCACTGGACTGCTAACTGCAAGGTTAGTGGTTCAAACCTCCACCAGCTGCTCTTGGAAACCCCATACAGAGTCTCCTTCTTAAGAATTAGGAAGTGACTTGACAGCACTTAACAATGTTCTCAAGGTCATACTTTGCCTCTTGTGAACCTGTTTTAATATTCTTTAGCTTCAGCTGAACTTGGATGTGAACAATTGATTACCTGCTATGAAGTTGGTCCCTGTCCTTGTTTTGACTGATACTATTGAGTTTCTTCATTGTCTCTTTTCCACAGTTGTAGTTGACTTGATTCCTATGTTTTCCATCCTGTAACGTCCACATATATATGAGGGATGTTCAAAAAGTTCAAGTCAAAATGGAATTAAAAGTAATGTAATTTTTTTCATGAAATTAAAAAATCTTCCATTTCTTCATCTTTGCCTTAGTAGTTGGTTCATAAATTTGAATGATATTCATATTAGCTGGTCTTCTTTGTGTGTGGACATTCTAGCTAATAGTGTTGTACTGCAGGATACACCTTGAAGTATCCTTTTTGAGAATGAATTTGATGCCATTCCTCTTCAGTTTGGCGTGCCTGGCATAATATGTTGGTCCAATTCAAAATAGCATTCTCTTTCATTTTTGATTACTCACAGTTATTTTAAATCATACTTTGTGCTTCATGTTCTGATTATTAATGGTGTTTGCAGCTGTTTCTTCTCATTTTGAGTCATGCCACATCAGCAAATACAAGTCCTGAAAGTATTATTTCATCCATGTGTTAAATATGAACTCTTCTCATTCATATTTTGTATTTTTAGTGCCTTTCAACTATATCAGACAGCATCCCCCTGATGTTCATAATGTTTTTACTAGCCAATTTTTTTCAGAAAGGTATTACCAGGCCTTCCTAGTCTTTCTACCTTCTTTTAAGGTTGTTGTTGTTTAGAGCCGTAGAGTTGGTTCCAACTCAACAATCCTGTGCAGCTGGTGGGTTAGAACTGCCAATCTTGCAGTTAATAGTCAAGTGCATATATTACGTTGCCACAACAGGAATTCTTCTAAGAGACACACATTATTTTACTTAAAAGACATTTTTGAACCATTGCTATACTAGGAACATATACTATCAGTATTTTGTAGATAGTAAAACTGCTGGAAGGAGCCCTTGTGCTTAATGGGTTTGGACTGCTAACCAACAAGTTGGTAGGTAATTCAAGCCCACTAGTTACTACACAAGAGAAAGATGAGGGTGTCTACTCCCATAAAGATTTATAGCCTCAGACACCCTAAGGGGCAGCTAGCTCTCTTCTGTCCGTTAGGATGTCTATGAGTTGGGATTGGATTGACAGCAAGTGTTTTAAAGTTGAACTGGTATAACATTTTCATTGATACTGAGCAAGGTTTATTCTGTTCCTAAATCATCAGTTTGTAACATATGAACAGGTTTATGTTTTTTTGATATAAATTGCTTAATACCAATGATTTAATTGAGCAACAACCCTGAAACCTTACATCTTCTTGAAGCAAGTTGTGGGGATTCTTTTGTTTGTGTATGGTTTTTACCTTTTAACTTTTTCAGGTATACTTTGGTAGTCTTAACTTTATAGCCAAGAACAGTTTAATTCAAGCAATGGCTTACTTAAAGTATTTCTGCTTCCGAAAACAATTACACATCAGTATTTATATTTGTTTCATACTATCCTCATGAATAAATAAAGGCAAATGGAAAAATTCAAGAATTGCAGTAAGGAAAATCAACAATACTTTTCATCTTAATTTTGAATTGTTGTTGTTGCTGTATGCCATGGAGTCAGTTCCGACTCACAGCGACCCCGTATAGGGTTTCTGAGGCTGTAAATCTTTATTGGAGCAGAAAGCCTCATCTTTCTCCTGCAGAGTAACTTGTAGGTTCGAACTGCTGACCTGAAGGTTAGCAGCCCAACTTGTAACGACTACTCTACTAGAACTCCAAATTGGCCTTTTTTATATCTTATTGATAGAACTAAATACTAGCCAAGGTTTTCTAGGAGGGTGGAGACAGAGTTAGAATGAGAACCCAGGTGTTTTAACTCCCATGCTAGTGGCTTTGATTGTCTTGTCCTTAAATTTACCAGTACATAATAGTGATATGCTATAAAATAGGTTGAAGAAATGGAAAACTTTCTAATGAAAATACCTTTTCAGAAGATTCTTGTGCTTTCATGTAATGACAGAGTATTTCATTTTTATAATGGATGATGTTAGTTGCCACCAACTTGGCTCCAACTTCAGGTGACCTTATGTATAATAGAATTAAATGTTGCTTGGCTCTGTGCCCAACTTGATGATCATTGGTTTGAGTCCATGGGCAATAACAGTATTTACTTGTTTTACCGCCTGTGTGCCACTTTGTCATGTTGTAGTAGCTTGTTTGTTGCTATGATTCAGGAAACTAATCCAGCAGGGCCACCTATGATTGACATGTTTTAGCCAGTGAAAACTATCAATCACAACAGAATACAATACTATTGTCTGATAAAGTGCTACAAGGTAAACACCCTGTGTAGGAAGACACTCAAAATACACAGTGGTTGCCTGTGAATGCCATAGAGAGCCATGTTAAAACAAATATATGATTCAAATGGATGAAGGTTGAGAATTTGAACGAGTTACTTCGGAAGCCACCAACAAGAAAACTGGGTTTTCCTACTTTCAATTTCTATCTCGAGCATCCTCCTGCTGCCTTCTGTCTACAATTCCTCTTCCAGTGCTACGTTCACATCGCTCTTCATATATGCAACCGAATTCCTCTCAGTCCCCAGAGATTGGCTCTAGAAACTAGCACACTTCTAGACACTGAGAAAAAAGCCCCCATGAATTTATCATGCATCCACTGTTCACATAACCCATGTTGGCCAAGTCTGAATAAATTGTAATAGGGAGGGAGACTTCATGCGGTTTTAGATTTCCATTGGTTTGTTTTATTGTAAGAGTCACCTGCTTTGTGACTAAGATACGTTCCTTTGATCTCCCAAGTGTGCATGTGGTTAAGTAATTAAACATATAATATGAATGCCTCAGCTACACAGTATCCCAGTAGATATAAGAGTTGCAAAGGACAGTTAGAATCTTCTGTAGTGACCACTGTCCACTAGGGAGGAAGTCTTGGCATTGGGCATTTGGATTCAAGGGTATACAACCGAAAACATTTTACTACTTTGTGTGGTAAAATAATGGAAGTCAACTCCCTATCATCAAAACTGACTCAAAAAATAATCTCAGACATAAAATGCCTAATTGTTAAATTTTGACTTACTGACCACTTATACTTGAATACCAGTAGTTTTACTGAGATTCTTATTTTGGTTAGTCTGACTTTGATTTGGGCCAAATCAACTCTTTAAATTTTTGAAATTTTTAATTATCAACATATAGAGGCTCCAAATACAATTAATGATAACTGATTTATACCTTTCATAGAATTTGATAAGGGAGGGGGACAAAAAAAACAGTTGTTGCAAAAATGGTTTTGAGCGTACTGTCAATTCTGAAGATGGCACCCCAAACCAAACTCATTGCCACTGAGTTGATTCTGACTCCAGCAACACCGTATAGGGTTTCCAAGGCTGTAAATCTTTATGGAAGCAGAAAGTGTCTACTTTCACCCACTGGCATGTTGAACTACCAACTTTGCCCTGCCAGGGCTCCTTGATGATGGCAAAGTAAGAGGAAATACTTAATTCTATTGTACTTGGGGGCATGCTAAAACAAGTACATGACAGTTACTAGCAACAATTTCATTTCATTTCATATATAAAATTTTGAGGCCTTAAAATTTTTTTAACATTGTCTTTCTGTATATGTACCTAACATTGTAAATTTTGGTTAGTGCTTAACTTTCTTGATTGTAATGTAGATCATTTGATTTATTTCAGTTCATATAACTTTAAATCACTAAAATAAAATATTAAACAATAATCTTTTTGTTTGTTTCAGGTAGATAATCCAGTTTCTGTTTTAACACAAGAGATGAGCAAGCAGTTCTTGCAGTCTAAAAATGAGGGTGACAAATATAAAGTAAGGCGTGCCAAAATAAATATAAACCTACTAAAAAATCATTTGTTTATAGATTAAGTGTAAATACCAGCCATTACCCTTGTTCACATAATGGATGTTATAGTGTGATAATTTTTAAAAGCTACCTACTTAAACTAATATGACTAAATTAAGAAGTAGTTTGATAGGCATATAATTGTTTTTGATAAACCTTTATTTTTACTATTTTGACTATTATTTTTCTAAAATGAATCTTTAAGAAAGTAGGAACAATCAGTCATATATATATATTACTGTATTCTTAAGTTATTTGAAACTAAAAACGCCAATAAACTATTCAATTACTACTAAAGTTTTCTGGTGTAACCTTTTGAATGGGTTTTGGTATTTCCCATTCTAAATTGAGCTACGACCAAGGATGCATATATTTTCATTTTTACTTAAAGAATGAAAGAATCTGTGAAAGTAAACCTTCAAAATGGAGCTGTGCCTTTTTTTTTTTACCCCCATTGCATTTTAAGTCTGGGCAGTGAACATGGATGTAAACACAGCAGGTTAAGTAAAATAACTTTGTATCTGACGTAACATTATGTTCCTTTGTGCTTATATGTATTGTACTCCTGTAAGTATGTTTTAGTGACTTTTTACATACTTTTTCTAAACTTTATTTTTTACAGACCAGTTTCTTTTTTATGTTTCTCTGAAAGTTTATAAACTTTTAACTGTATTCTTTTTATTAAGTTCTTCATGAAAGCAACGCAACTTGAACAGATGAAGGAAGATTACTCGTATATTATGGAAACAAAAGAAAGAACAAAGGAGCAGATAAAGCAAGGAGAAGAGGTCTGTAAACAGTTAACGTAATTGGAGGTTACCCAATTCTTGCAGTGTTGTTGTTATATTGTAATATACTGTTGTTGATAGGTGCTGTCAAGTTAATTGGGACTCATAGCAACCCTGAATAGGGTTTCTGAGGTGCAACGGGTGGGCTTGAACTACCAATTGTGTGGTTAGCACTCCAGTGATTGTCCAACAGTGCCCTTGTGTCGGTTCTGACTCATAGTCACCCTGTATAGGATTTCCGGGGCTTTAAATCTTCTCAGGTGCAGGAAATCGTTAAACAATATCATTATTATCACATGCAAGTAAAATTTTGCTAACAAGGGATTTTATTGCTGACATCAGATGGATCTTGGCTGAAAGAAGAGAATACCAGAAATATGTATACCTGTACTTTTGTTGGCTATGCAAAGGCTTTCAACTGTGTGGATCATGACAAGGTATGGATAACATAACAAAGAATGGGAATTCCAGAACACTTTATTGTGCACATGAGAAGCCTGTACATAGACCAAGAGGCAATCGTTTAAACAGAACAAGGGTACACTGATTGATTAAAATCAGGGAAGGTGTGTACCAGGGTTGTATGCTTTCGCCATCCTTACTCAGCCTGTATGCTGAGCAAATAATCCAAGAGGCTCAATAATGTGAAGAAGAACGTGGCATCAGGATTGGATGAAGACTCATTAACACCCTGCTGTATGCAGATAGGAGTCCTGGTGTGGTGCTGTGGGTTAATGTACCAGACAGCAAAGCTGTGTGAACTGCAAGGTTGGTGGTTCAAGCTCGCCAGCTACTCCTTGGAAACCCTGTACAGGGTCGCTATGGGTCAGAATCGACTCAATGGCACTTCACAACAACAGCATATGCAGATCAACGGAGTCCTGGTATGGTGTTCTATGTAGTATAAGTACTTGACCATGAGGTTGGTTTGAACTGCATGGGTGGTGGTTCAAATTCACATGTAACTCCTCAGAATCCCTATACAGTGTCATTGTGAGTCGGAACCAACTGGTGGCACTTCATAACAACAATATGCAGATAATTCAACCTTGCTTACTGAAAGCAAAGAGGACTTAAAATACTGTTGAAGATCAAAGACCACAGTCTTAAGTATGGATTGAACCTTGTTGTAAAGAAAATAAAAATCCTAACCACTGGACCAATAAGATAAATGAAGAAATGATTGAAGTTATCAAAAACTTCATTTTGCTTTTATCTACTATCAATACACATGGACACTGCAGGCAAGATCAAACAACATATTACATTAGGCAAATCTGCTGTATAAGACTTCTTTAAAATGTTCAATAATAAAGATGTCAGTTAGAAGACTAATGTGCTGCTGACCCAAGCCATGGTATTTTCAGTAGTTTCGTATTCACCTGAATATGGTGTTGGAGAAGAAAACTAGAAGTACCATGAACTTCCAGAACAAAGAAGTCTGTGTTGGAAGAAGTATATCCAGAATGCTCCTCAGAAACTAGGATGGTGATACTTAATCTCTCATACTTTGGACATATTATCAGGAGGAATCAGTTCCTGGAGAAAGGACATCATGTTTGCAAAAGTGAAGGGTCAGTGAAAAAGAGGAACACCCCCAACGAGATGGTTTGACACAATGGCAGCAGCAGTGGGCTCACATGTAATAATGATTTTAAGGTTGGTGCAGGACCAGACAGTGTACATAAAGTCATTATGAATCGACCCTAATTGACTGCTAATTTAGAGGTCAGGGGTTCAAACCCATGAGCCGTTCTGAGGGAGAAAGATCAGGCTATCTGTTCCTGTGAGGATTTACAGTCTCAGAAACCTTACATAGGATCACTGTAAGTTGGAATCAACTTGATGGCAGTGGGTTTTGTTTTTGTATATTTAATGGTATACCTAGAATTGTGCTTCAGTTATGATCAAATGTTGTTTTCTTAAGTGCTGTAGAGTGGGTATGGACTCATAGTGACCCTAATAAGGGTTTCTGAGGCATGGTGGCAGATTTGAACCACCAACCTTGCAGTTACCATTCCATTGCTTACCCTACAGCAACACACCAGGACTGCATGGTGGCTTATAAATATCATGGTTCTTGGTGTTACAGACCTTCCTGTCCAAATGGAAATAGATGTTAAATAATTTGAGTATTGTGATTACTACTAAAGGAACTTTTAGACTGGGTTGATGGAACAGCGTACCTACTAGAGTGCTGTCAATGGAGAATGGAATGATGAAGGATAATGAAGGTTGTTCAGGAGTCATGTCTGTGGTGACACTTGAAGGGTATTCCAAGAAATAGGTTGGTTGAATTCTCTGGCAAGAGAGTTCATGATGAATTTCAAAAATTGAAAGAATTCTAGATTGGCTAAAGAAAGTCAGAATGAGAGATAAGAGACTGGATTTTATGGGTAACCTTGCGGAAGAAAATGATTTGGTGTAAGAAAAGAATAGATGTGGAGAGGTCAATTAGGAAGTGCAACAATGTATGACAACAAACCCTTCCTCCTGCAGCCCTCTACTCAACTGGATGCAGTAGTTCATTGCAATGGCCACATAGAACTCAAGATACCGTACTCACAGTTAGGTGTTTTATTAGGACAGTTAACAGGTTACATACATATGTGTGGTCAGAAATGCTCAGGGCACAGTTATTCCAGTCAGCTGCTGATAAATTCCCATAGAACACATCACTCCACCATATGCCTCAGCCAGAAGGCACTCAACTCTAGCTCTGTGGATTAGTAAACTTCCCCCAGTTAAGTGCTTGGAGGCAGCCCACCCTATATCAAGCTTTCTGTCCAAAGTCACTCAACTTTACGTACTCTGTGTTGTGCACTGGTTCTTGATTCTGGCGCCGCTCCTTTGCCACTTCTGCAGTGTCACAGCTTCTTCTGTCCTTAGGTCAAAGAGGTTAATACTCAAGAATCTTGAACTCAAAAGGACATGCTCCACTCCTGTCTCTTCTTTGATGGTAGTGAAATCCCATTCTTTCTTCTGAGATGGCTCATTTTAAACCCATGCTGGAGTTTTGAGTTTTTACAATTACAATTAAGTCTGCTAAGATTCATAGCTGAGCATGTCATCCAATCAATATTTTCTCCCATCTTCTCTTACCCAGACCCAGCAGTGCAGAAACATTGTTTGGTGGTAGTTATAGACTAGGGCTATAAGTGACATTAGATAATTCATTACAGGAAAGTACTGCCATTGTCCAAAACATTGATGATAGTGTAAGTCAGGATAATGGTGGTAATGTTGTTGTTGTTAAGTACTGTTGAGTCGATTCCGACCCATAGCGACCCTGTACAGGGTTTCTGAGGCTGTAAATCTTTAAAAGAGCAGAAAGCCTCGTCTTTCTCTCATGAAACAGCTAGTAGTTTCAAACTGCTGACCTTAAAGTTCGCAGCCTGATTCGTAACCACTACGCTGATGCAGGAAAGAGCTTTCAAGTGATTTGGACAGATACTGTGAGGAAAATGAAGGTTGATATAATGACTTGAGGTTAATAATCTGAACAGTAGATTACGTTTGAGATGTTGTTGTTAAGTGCATTCGAGTCAGTACTCATTCATAGCAGCCCTATGCACAACAGAATGAAACACTACCCAGTCTTGGGCCAGCCTCATAATCGTTGATATGCCTGAGTCCATCGCTGCTGCCACTGTGCCAGTCCATCTCATTGGGAGTCTTCCTCTTTTTCTCCGACCCTCTACTTTGCCAATCATGATGTCCTTCTCCAGTAACTGGTTCCTCCTGATAATGTGTCCGAAGTATGAGAGACGAAGTCTGGCCATCATGGCTTCCAAGCAGCATTCTGGATGTACTTCTTCCAACATAGATCTGTTTGTTCTTTTTGCAGTCCATGGTACTTTCAATAGTCTCCAACACAATAACTCAAATGCATCAATTCTTCTAGTCATTAAAAGTTTGAGATGAGAAACTTTTTTTAAAATGAAAAAATAGTGGCTTTAATTTTGAGAACATTAATTTTGAGATGTTTATAAAGCAACATCTTTATAAAGCAACATCTCAAAATTAATGTACTCAAAATGTGGGACAGAAGTTTGCTGGTAAGAGTTTGGAATTGAGAAATAAAATCTGGCTTCAATAAAAATTTGTAAGTTGTTTATGTATTATTGATCTCTAAGCCTTGGGATTGACTGAGATCACCGAGGAGGAGAAGATAAATGAGCCCAGCCCTGAGTTTGCTAGGAAACTGGTCAGAAGTGTCAGAAGTACAGAAAGTTTGAAGACCACAAGGACTGATAATTCTTCACTAAATATAGTGACAATCTTCAAAGATGATTATACCAAATAACAGTCGACAGAGATAGTTTTCTACAGCAAAATTTGGGAATAGCAACTGAGATCTTAAAAACTCTTGAGTCGCCATCTGAGGTTCAACTGTTGGTCTCTCCCTATTGGGAGGAAAGAAGAATGAAGAAAATTGAAGATGTGAGGAAACAGTTCATTGGACTAGTGGAACAAAACATGAATATCAGTCTACACAACCCTGAGACGAGAAGAAGTAGATGATGCCTGACTACCTGTATGAACTACTATGAAAGTGATTACATTATAACATTATAGATGCAATGGGAGAAAAATGTAGAACGAAACTCAAAATTATTTTTTAAAAAAAGACCAGGCTTACTTAAGCTCAGATAGACTGGTGGAACACCTCCTACCTCCTTTCCAGGTTTAGAAATGAACTCACCCATGAAATGAGTTCACCCATGATTCCATTTTCAGCCAAGCAATAGACAGGTCTATAAGGGGAACAGTAGCACTGGTGAGGTATGCATAGCTTAGAATAGTCAACCCATTGATATCTAAAGGATAGCATTTACCCCAAAATTTAGATAATTAGGAAAGAAAGGTGAATGGAAAAGAAACACAGGGAGGAAGTGGGATAAATGATGTTATATTACGGAGATTGTAATCAATTACATGAAACAAAATGTTTATGAATTGTTTAATGGAAAATGATTTGTTCATTAAACCATGACCGAATTCACAATAAAAAGTGTTTTTTAAAAGTAAAGAGATGACTGTGCCAAAGCTATTTTCTGTAGTGGTGAAAGCAAAAGCCAGATAGATCTTTTGGATTAAAAATATGAGAAAATGGAGGTGACTGAGATAATTTTGAAGAAATTTGATGGAAGGGAAGAAGAATTTTAGAGGAGAAAGTCATGGCAATGGTGGTAGTTTTGTTTGTAAGTAGGAATTATAAGGGACTAAAGATTTAAACATGATCATGGAAGAAACTGAAAGCGAGGTGAAAATTAAACATTAAAAGATAAGATGGGAAATTTTTAGACTAACTGAAAAGATGAAAGGGGATAGGGTCCAGAATATAGATAGTGGTAGGGATTGAATTTAATTGCAACTGGGACATCTTCTCTATTGTAACAGGAGGACGAGTTGAGTCTGAGATGTTGAATGACCATAGGTTTTAGATAATGCTGGAAGTTGGAGGAAGTTTCTGTCTGATGGCTTCTAAATTCTCTGAAGCGGAAGGTAGAGACCATGAGTGAGGAAAGAGACTCACAGATATAGATGAGGTTTGAACACATTGATAATGGGTTGAAATAATCCTGGAGTATGGTAAAGTGAATTGGATAGTGATGCTAATGTAATCTACAATGTGAAAGTGCTAGTTGAATATGTGGTGATGATTGTAAACTGCTGTTGAGTGGATTCTGACTCATTGTGACCCTGTATAGGGTTTCCCACGAGTAGCTGATGGGTTTGAAATGCTGACTTTGTGGTTTGCAGTCCAGTGATGATCCTACAGCACCACATTGTTAAGTGCCATCAGATTGGTTTAAATCATAACGACCCTACGTATAAGAGGATGGAAACAGTGCCTGATCCTGTACTGTCCTTAATCGTTACTATGTTTGAGCCCATTGTTGCAGCCACTGTGTCATTCCGTCTTGTTGAGGGTCTTCCTTTTTATTTATCTTCTTCCTTACCTAATTTTAATATAATAAGCATGAAAGAAGAGACTGCTGTCTACGAGATGCACAGAGTATGAAGTTAAGGAACCAATTCAGAAGCTATTTTAATATCGATACTTAATATGTGTTTGGTGATTTTATTTATGAATTATTAACAGAATTTAGATAAGACAAGTATTTTATATTTTTATTTTGGGGAAAAAATTCCTTCACATCCCTTCATTACCTTTGGAATAGGAACTGGGTATACTTTTGTCAAGAATAAGAGATCAGAAATGAAATCCAGGGAGAAAATGAGAAACTGAGCTTTGAGGTTTGTCTGTTTTGTGGATTTGCATCTTGTATTCTTCTGATCCTACGAAGAATGCTTGGACAATTTTATAGTAGAGAAATGAGCAAAATTATTGCACCTAGTAAAAGTATACTAAAGAACTAAAATAAATTTTAGTTTTGCATTTTCTAACAAATCTTTTTGTATTGCTTGTGTGGGTACTGTTTTTGAGTGTTTATTTGCCAGTCTTGTCATTTTAATGTTAATAAGAAATACATTCTTTTTCTTTTAAGCGACTTACTGAACTGAAGCGCCAGTGTTTGGAGAAAGAGGAGCGTTTTCAAAGTATTGCTGGTTTAAGTACAATGAAAACTAAATTGGAAAACTTGAAACATGAAATGGCTTGGGCAGTGGTAATTTTCACTTAATTACTGTTTTGCATACATTTGAAAAATAAAATATATTTGCTTGCAGTTAGGTCTTATAAGTGCTTTACTATATAATTTCTTTTTAGGTCAACGAAATTGAAAAACAGTTGAATGCCATCAGAGATAATATCAAAATTGGAGAAGAGCGTGCTGCTAGACTTGACCGGAAAATGGAAGACCAGCTAGTAATTACAACTCATTTAATTGTTTTATTGGGCTGAATCATATGAAATTGCTGTTTTAGACTATTTGGCTGATTCATGAAATTGCGCTTTTAGACGATTTTTACCTATGAGGAAAGCAGTTTGGACCTATATATTTATGTGTTTTTGATGTTTCGTTCTGCAGTGCGTAAGGTCGCTATGATTCGGTTCCGATTCAATGGCACTTAACAATGAAGCAGACCTAAACTTTTGCCCAAGAAGTTTTGGGGAAGTGTCTTTTCTTAGGATGTTGTTTTAATTGCCTTCAAGTTAGTTTCAACTCATAGTGACCCTATATAGGGTTACTGAGGTTCAGCTGGTGAGATTGAACCACTGACATTGCAGTTCAAACTGACCTTACAGTCCGGCACATTAACCTACAGCGTCACACACAGGACTCTGAGTGTGGGGATTTAGAATTCTTAAGAAATCCATGTGTTTATAGCAGTACTCTGTTACTGCCCAGTTCCTGGAAGATTTAAGCTTTTACTGTTGGCTTCACTAAGAACCTAAAATATGAAGTGACCTGAGGAAAAAGGAGTGCTAGGATAGTAGTTTAAATAGTACTGATGCTAAGAATCACAACTGAAAACTATGCCCAGAGATTGTTGATGGAAATATAAAGGAACTGAAGTTTAGGTTCTAAAACCACAGTTGCCTCTCAGAGGATTCGAGACAGGTAGAACCACATGGAGGGTAATATTGTTAGATTTGTTAAGGTTCGTTTCAACCTGAGATTTAAGAGCACGCCAGTCTATTTGCATTCTCTGGACAGAATTTCTTACGCCCTCTTATTCCAAATTTTCCCATTTCCTTCACTTCAAAGTTTTATGTTGGAGAGAAAATTCTGAAATGTTTGCTAAATGTTTTTCTCTTCTCAGCCTCATTTGTCAGCTTGTCATAGGGAAGGTCATGTGTTTCTGTCGTCCTTGGATATTTCCTAGTCTGAAAGTAAAATAGATGCTCACCTTTTCCTCAAATGGCAAAAGGAGGACCTTGATTATTGGTGGTAGTTTTCTAGGCCTCTGTTCTACTTAAGTATTTGAGAACTATGTAATAAGTGGTAAATTTATAGAGAATAAGGATCTTACTTTATTTTTATATTCTTTCTGCTATATCTTACATGAAACCTTTCACACAGTATATGCATTATCATTCCTTGTTTCATACAATGGTTATTGTATGGAAAGTTTCTGAAGAAATTTTAAACTTGTGTTGACCTAATTTAAAACTGAAAATTATGATTATGTTTAATTTGTTTAACATCTGATCTGCCTTCAATTATAAAAGAGATACAGATTATAGTACTGATGTTTTAATCATAGAACCTTTATTACCACTCTGGGTGACGTTTTCTAAATATCCTGTTTATTGATAAGTCTCTACGCCCTATCTCCTTCAGACTTTTGTCCTGAACACTTGACTTGAGTATCTGCCTTTATATCTTTATCTATATGCCTCAGATAACTCAAATTTAGCCTGTCTAGTTTAGTATGTTCTTTTTCTTGTACTACTTACCTTAAAGCTTGGTATTGCTATCTATCCAATTGCCTGATCCAGCAACCTGGTAGTTATCCTAAGTTTCTCACTTTTTCTCTGTTTTCTGCCTCTTTTTTACCCCTCATGCGTTCGTATTCTGTATCTCCATTAAGTCATCAAATCCAGTAAGGTAATGGTTGATAAATGGGCAATTAGGTGAATTGTGGCCTGCCACCTGCTTTTCTAAGTAAAATTTTATGGGAACATATTCTTCTCTTGTTTCTTGATACACTTTTAACTAATCATTTAAATCTTAGCTCAAATACTTCTCTTGACATTTTCTGGAAGATTTCTGATTTCTTTCTTTATATTTTTAGGGTGTCTATAAGTTGGAATCAACTCCATAACAGTGGGCTTTTGTTTTTTTCTAATGGTTTAAGAGGTCTTCAGAAGCTTAATCAAAAAAGGAACTGAAAGATAATGGAATTTTTCCACAAAATTTTTTTTAAATGTGTTATTGTGAATTATGTGATAGTTTACATTAGAGAACATTAGTTTTACATTCATCCTATCATATATCATTTCATTGCGTGGTTACAATCCCCTCCGTGCATCATAAACCAACCAAAGGATATACCCTGCAAGCCTGTCCCCCAAGTCGTCAACACACATCCCCTCTCCCTCTCTGGGTCTAAAGTCCCTAGCCTCTCCATCTCTTCACTTCATCATCTCTGCCTCCATCTCTGGTGTCACTGCTTCTTTGGGTAGGGTGCCGCTCCTCACTTTTCTCCTTTGATGGTACCAGGGACCTCTGCTCCTAGACTTCAAAGTTAATCACTCCCCTCCTTGCTACAAAACATCTACCTTTACATTTCCAACCCTCACAATCAGTTCTGATAACAATTATTCACTATTGTTATCACAAGAGACCTATCCACATTTCCTTTCATCATCCCCGCCTAGACAGATTGGATACTACTCAGGGGAGATTCTACCTTCCTCAGCACCCTCTGGATCTAGATTCCTTCTTGAAAACTTGTAAGCTAGTCACTTCTTGCCTTTGAAGCCCCTCCCCATTTTGGGTAGCCTATGTCCAAGTTGCCCATCCCTGACTACTCTGTGTATGGAAGGGGTGGGAATGATCCTCGCTGTAAAGATTCATTCCCTCTTTTGAGCTACTACATCCATAGGTGTAGGATAAAGTTCATAAAATTGTCTTAGATTACTCTTTTTTTTTCCCCCTCTTCTTTATTCTAGTTGAGCTCTGACCATCCAGTCACTGAAGTCAGATCAAGTGGGTATTAGCTGCAAGTGTGGGTGTTCTTGTGCATATGCCCTCTCTTCTTATCAGCTGCATGCTTCACTCTCCACTCTAGTCCTCTGTGGCTAGGTTGCTGACTCTGGGCCCAAGAGTCCCAGGTCTTGCCACACTGCTGGCCAACCAGGTCTCCAACGGGTTCACAGGAGTCTATTGAATGCTGTAAGGCATAGCTCGCAGCTTCACTACTGTTTTTGCTTCACTTCCCCTTATCGGTGACAAACGTGGTCACCAATCAGAGTGTGTATTCCCATTGAGTCTTAGTCTTGGAAGGGGGCTTGCACTGGGGGGACCCAACCACTTGCCTTGATGTCTCCTGGGCAAGCAACTTGCTTGTTCTTGTAGTAATCAATCGGTCTGCCGTTATTGTTTTGAATTTTTGTGTCGGTCTTTCTTTCAGGAAGTATCTTCTGTTCTTCTAGCCACTCAGGCTGGTCTGCTTGTCCTTTCAAGTGGAAATTTCCCACCTCAGAAGATTCTGGATGCTGTTCTGGATTCCACCTATGGTCTTATGTAATGCAGAGGCTCCACAGGAAGCCGCCTTCACTGGGCACATTGTAACCCCATTTTAATTATTTCAATCAGTTACAGGCAGAAAACGGACTTACAAGCTTTCTATGGGGATATTTCTGGCTATTCCTTTCTCTCCCCCTCAAGTATCTATTTTCTAATGGTTTGCCAGGGAAACCAAGATTCAAAAGACAGCCAAGCATTAGCATTATTTCACCCTTTTCCCCATCCCAACCATGGCTCAATCCCTGTATTCCAGAGCCCTGTTACTCCAAGGGTGTGCATACATCATTATTTACCTCTGTCTCATGCAAACCTGCAAACCATGCAAACCTGCCTAATTGTTCTCCCATCCGCTTTGTTTTTCCATTCCCCTCCCTCTTCTTGTCTTTTGTCCCCTCCCTAGCACCCAAACTGTCCTGTGTCTATTCCCTGCTCTGTGCTCCACCTTGTCCTCCCTCCCCTCACCCCATCCCCCATATCCCAGGAACCAGCAAAAAAAACAAAAACCCTTTTAGTATGGGTTCTTTTTCTTAGTCTTTTACAGTAGTGGTCCAATGCAGTATTTCTCCTTTTGTGACCGACTAATTTCACTCAACATAATGTCCTCAAGGTTCATCCATGTTATGTGGTGGCTTGCAGCTTCCTTGTTAATCTTCAGAGTAGCATAATATTCCGTTGTGTGTATGTACCACAATTTGTTTATCCATTCTTCATTTCGTGGGCACTTTGGTTGTCTCCATCTTTTAGCTATTGTAAATAGGGTTGCTATGGTGTGCATATATCTATTTGTGTTATGGCTCGTATTTCTTGTGGGTAAATACCAAGTAGAGGAATTGCTGGATCCTAAGGTATTTCTATTTCCAACCTTTTGAGGAAGTGCCATATTGCTTTCCAGAAAGGCTGGATCATTTTGCAGTCCTACTAGCAATGCAGGAGCGTCCAAGTCTCTCCACATCCTCACCAGCATTTATTGTCTCTACTTTTTTTGATCTTTGCTGTTTGTGTGCTATGACATCTCACTGTTGTTTTGATTTGCATCTCTTTAATGTCTAGTGATCGTGAACATTTCTTCATATATTTGTTGGCAGCCTGAATCTCCTCCTTGGTGAAGTATCTGTTCGTGTCCTGTGCCCATTTTTTACTTGGGTTATTTTCATTTTTCTTGTTGAGGTGTTGTAGTTTCCTATATATTTTAGAAATGAGTCCTTTGTCTGATGTGTCATTGCAAAAGATTTTTCCCATTCTGTGAGTTGCCTTTTTACTCTTCTGGTGAAATCTTTTGATGCACATAAATTTTTAATTTTCAGTATATCCAACTTATCTATTTTGTCTACTTTTGTTTGTGTAGTTTTCAAAATGTTTGGTAGTCTGTGTATTCCCTGAATTAGTGCCCTCACATTTGTCCCTATTTTTTCATTGATGGACTTCATAATTCTGGAATTCACATTTAGGTCTTTAATCCATGTTGAGTTGGTTTTTGAGTAATGCTTGAGGTGAAGGTCTTGTTTCAGTCTTTTGCATATCACTTTCTGGTTCTGCCAGCACTATCTGTTGAAGAGACTGTCACCTCCCATGTGATATATTTAGGTGTTTTGTCAAAAATCAGTTGGCTGTATGTAGATGGGTTAATTTCTGGATTCTCGATTCTGTTCCATTGATCTATGTGTCTTTCATTGTACCAATACTAAGCAGTTTTGACCACTGTAGCCGTGGTGTAGTAAATTTTGAGGTCGGGAAGTGACAGGCCTCCAACCTTATTCTTCTTCTTAAGCAGTGCTTTGCTTATCATGGGTCTCTTTCCTTTCCATATAAAGTTTGTAATTGTTTTTTCTATATCTTTGAAGAATGTCGGTGGAATCTGGATTGGGATTGCGTTAATATGTGTAATTTGCTTTTGGTAGTATTGACATTTTCACAATGTTAAGTCTTCCTATCCAGGAGCATGGTACATTCTTCCATTTTTGTAGGTCTCTTTTGGTTTCTTATGGTAGTGTTTTGTAGTTTGCTTTGTATAAATCCTTTGTTTCTCTGGTTACAGTTATTACTAGGTATTTCATTCTTTGGGCAGCTATTGTAAAGGATTTTGCTTTCCTAATGTCCTTTTCAATGATGTCGTTTTTTGGTATAAAGGAATCCAATTGATTTTTGTATGTTGATCTTATATCCTGCCACTTTGCTGAATCTTCCAATGAGGTCTAGTAGCTTTTTTACTGAGTTTTGGGGGCTTTCTACATGTAGGATCTTATCATCTGCAAATAGAGAGAGTTTTACTTCCTCTTTGCCAATTTGGATGCCTTTAATGTTCCTGTCTTGCCATATAGCTTTTGCTAAGACTTCCAGCACAATATTGAATAGGGGTGATGACAAAGGGCATCTTTGTCTAGTTCCTGTTTGCACAGGGAAGACTTATAGTTTCTCTCCATTGAGAGTAATGTAGGCTGTTGGTTTTCTATATCTGCTCTTAATTATGTTGAGGAATTTCCCATCAATTCCTACTTTGTTGAGTGTTTTTTATCAGGAATGGATGTTAGATTTTGTCAAATGCCTTTTCTGCATCAATTGATATGATCATGTGGTTCTTTTCTTTTTTCTTATTTATATGGCAGATAATGTTGATTGTTTTTCTATTGTTGAACCTTCCCTGATATGAATCCCACTTGATCGTGATGTGTTATATTTTTGATGTGCTGCTGGATTCTGTTGGCTAGGATTTTGTTGAGAAATTTTGGATCTCTGTTCATGAGGGATATTGGTCTGTAATTTTCATTCTTTAGTGACATCCTTCCCTGGTTTGGGTATGAGGGTTATGCTTGCGTCATAAAATGTTTTGGGAAGTTTTCCATCCTCTTCTATATTCTGGAATAATTTGAGTAGAATTGGTATCAGCTCTTCCCTTTAATGTTTGATAGAATTCACACATGAAGCCCTCTGGTCCTGGACTTCTTTTGGTTAGGAGTTTTTGATGACCTGATGAGTTTCTTCTTTTGTTATGGGTCTGTTCAGGTTTTCTACTTCACTGTGTGGAAGTTTAGGTAAGTCGTGTTTATCTAAAAATATATCCATCTCTTCTAAGTTCTCAGATTTGTTGGAGTACATAGTATTATGTTATTATCCTTTTGATTTCCTTTGGTCCCATTGTGACATCACCCATGTAGTTTCTAATGCGGGTTATTTGTGTCTTCTCTCTCTTTTCTTTTGTTTGGTTTTCCAGTGGTGTGTCAGTTTTGTTAATCCTTTCAAAGAATCAGCTTCTTGTCTTGTTGATTCTTTCTAAAGCTCTTCCATTTTCCATCTGATTTATTTCTGTTCTAATATTTACTCTTTCTTACTTTTGCTATAAGTCCCACTAGCTATAAGCCTTCGAACCTTTTAAATATTTCTATCTCTGGGGTTCTGAGTTTTGGAGCTCTTCCCTGGATCTGTTTTGCCTGGTATTCTGTGGTATTTCTGACAGCAAACTTCATTACACCTCCACACTAACCACCATCAAGCCCTGCCTCTCCTACTCCACAATCTTTTTGAAACGCGCTTGTATCAACAGCTTATGTGTCTGTTTCTCTGTCAGTTTGTGGCTATCTACTTTTAAGTGTGAAGCTCTGGTGTGGGGCTGTAGAATAGACACTAGATTGCTAACTGCAAGATCAGGAGTTCGAATCTACCAGCTGTTCCTTGGAAACTCTGTGCAGAGTCACTATGAGTAAGAACTGACTTGATAGCATTTAACAACAACTTTTAAGTCTCTGGTCCTGGTATGGTGCTGTAGGATCAGCACTAGACTGCGAATCACAAGGTCAGCAGTTCAAACCCACCAGCTTTTCCTCAGAAACCCTACAAGAGGGTCGCTATGATTCAGAACAGACTTAGCAAGACTTAACAACAACAAGCTAATCGCAAGATTAGTTCAAACTCACTAATTGCTCCTTTGAAACCCTAGACTGCATAGCTATGAGGAATAACTGTGTTTCTGAGTTGTTGTTAAGTGCCATTGAGTCAGTTTCAACTCATAGTGACCCTGTGTAGCATTTCTGAAGAGTGGCTGGTGAGCTTGAACTGCCAACCTTGCCATTCAAACTGACCTTACAGTCCAACACATTAATTCACAATGCCTCACCAGGATTTTCTAACACACTTAACTTTTGAGTGTATTATATAAGTACAGTTATTGCTTCTTTTATCCCCAGAGAATAGTACTAATAAAATAAATATTGTTTGTTATTCTGGGAGTCCTTAGTACTGTCAATATTCTTCTCCAGTACCATGATTCAAATCCATCAATTCTTCTGTGAGCTTTCTTATTCATTGCTCACCTTTCTTAACGCTTACAAGGTGATTGAAAATCCCATGGCTTGGGTCAGGCAAACCTTAGTCTTCGAAGTAACATGTTTGTTCTATAACTTTATAAAGAAAACTTTTGCAGCAGATTTTCCTAATGTAGTGCGTCATTTGATTTCTTGACTCCTGCTTCCATGAGCTTTGATTGTGGATCTAAGCAAAATGAAGTCTTCAATTTTTTCTCCATTTTTCATGGTGGTGTTATTTGTCCAGTTGTGAGAATTTTTGTTTTCTTGACATTGAAGTGCAATCCATACTAAACACCGTATAGTCTTTGATCTTCATGAGTAAGTATTTTAAGTCTTCTTTGCTTCTAGCAAACAAGATTGTGTCATCTGAATATTACAAGTTGTTAGTGAGTCTTCCTCCAGTCCTGATACCACATTGTTCTTCATATGAACTATACACTGGTGTTGTTATTGTTAAGTGCCATTGTGTTGATTCCAATTCATAGTGACCCTGTATAGTTTTTCCAAGAAGTAGCTGATAGGTGTAAACTGCTGACCTTGTGGTTAGCAGTCCAGTGCTTATCCTACAGTGCCACATCAGAAATATATATGCTGTTGTTGCAAAGTGTCATCGAATTGGTTCCGACTCATATCTACCCTCTGTGTGGTTTCCAAGGAACAGCTGGTGGGCTTGAACTTCAGAGATTGTGGTTTGCAGTCTAGTATTGATTCTGTTTCTTAGTTTTTCTCTGTTTATTGGTGTAAAAGAGACCATCCTCCAACAATGTTACTCTTTTCTTAAAGGTCAGACTTAATGAAGCAGAAGAAAAGTACAAGGATATAAATGATAAACTTGAAAAGATTATTCAAGAGACAGATGTGCGAGCTCCAGAATGTGTGGCGTTGAAAGCAGATGTTACTGCTAAGACAAGGGTCTATAATGAAGCTGAGGTGAGAGAAAATTAACTGAAATATTATAAACTTAATGTCAAAAATTCTGTTCATCTATTTTTCTAAATGGAGGTTTTGTAATGGTCTATTTTGTTTTCTTATTTTACTAAAGTGTGTAATTTTTGTTAGGTTTTATGTAATCGTTTCCTAACTGAATATAAAGCATTAAAGAAGGATGATGAGCAGCTTTGTAAAAGAATTGAAGAACTGAAAAAAAGGTAGGATAATTACTTTGCAACTTTCATGATGACCTCATTTTTCAGTAGTCATATAGGTAAAAAGAAGAAGTTATGTTTTCTGCATTCTTGCTAAAGAATTTTTTCATGGTTTATGTAGGATTTTTTAAATATTACATTTTTCCTATAACATTTTCTACTTTGCATTATTTGCCAATAGTACTGATCAGTCTTTGGAACCTGAGCGGTTGGAAAGACAAAAAAAAATAAACTGGCTAAAAGAGAAAGTAAAGGCCTTACAAGATCAAGGAAGTTTAGTTACTCAAGAGATTCAACAATTTCAGCAAGCCATAGAAAAGGACAAAGAAGAACACAACAGAATTAAGTAAGTGCAACATCACTACAATGATTTAAAAATTACTTAAATATCATATGTTACTTTTGTTGAATGCCATCGTTTTGAGTCACAGCCACACTGTTGTATAGGGTATCCTAGAGTGGCTGGTGGGTTTGAACTGCTGACCTTGCAGTTACTAGTCCACTGCTTATCCTATAGTGTTATACCAGTGCTCTTAGTATCATATAGTCTAGCATTTTTTTTATGAAGAGATAAAACATGTGTTTTTTTATTTTCTACGTAAGTTCTCTTTTAAGGAGCCCAGGTTGCGCTGTAGGATAAGCACTGGATTGCTAACCGCAGTGTTGGCAGTTCAAACCCACTGGAAACTGCAGGAGAAAGAAGAGGCTTTCGCCTCCGTAAAGATCTACAGCCTTGGAAACCCTACACAGGGTTACTTAGCATTGGAATTGACTTGATGACAGTGGGGAGTGGGGCTTTTGTTTTTTTCTTGGAAAAGGGATCTTTTTAAAAAATTACCTTTCTAAGACTCTTCTTAAACTTGTGGAATTGGATAGTAGAATTCCTAAGTTCACAATTATTTGTATTACTTTCCATAACAAGTTTTGAGAACTATTCTGGTAACAATTATATTTAAATAAAGCCTTTTTTTAGTTTTAGGGTAGCTGGGTAATTCATTGATATGAATGTGTTATAGACAAGGATGGAATATTTATCTATGTCCCATAACTATTTTTTTTCCACTGTATTTTTTAGGAGAGAAGAACTAGATGTGACACATACGCTGAACTATAATGAGAGACAACTGAAAGAACTGAGAGACAGTAAAACTGACCGACTGAAAAGATTTGGTCCCAATGTTCCAGCTCTTCTTGAAGCAATAGATGATGCTTATAGACGGGGACTTTTCACCCACAAACCTGTTGGTCCTTTAGGTACTTGTCATTATTGAGTTAGGATAAAATAAATAGAAGCTTAAGTTTTTATATTAGAAAGGAGTCTGTGGAGTCAAGTTTTAAAACTTTATTATCAACTACGCCTGGTATGACACTGTAGGGTCAGCACTGGATTTCGAATCACAAGGTTGCAGTTCAAACCTAGCCAGCTACTCCTTGGGAACCCTATAAGGGCGCTATGAGTCTGACCCGGTTTGAGGCACTTAACAACAATAACAACCTAGTTCTGGTGTGGCACTGTAGGAGAAGCCCTGGACCTCAAGATGGGTTTGAACTGCAAGGTTGACAGTTCAGACTCACCAGCTATTCCTCAGAAACCCAATGCAGTGTCGTTGTGAGTCAGAATTGACTCAACAACACTTAATGACAATAACAACAGCATGTGGAGTGGACTTCAATTGTATATACTTTAATAATGATAGAATCACTACAGTGTTAGTAGTTTTTCTTTTGTAGCTTTAAAGCATAAAGCAGCCAAAAGAAGGAAAAGTTAAAAATAATTATGTTGTTGTCAGGTGCCATCGAGTCGGAACCGACTCATAGCGACCCCATGCACAGCAGAACGAAACAATGTCCGATCCTGGGCCAACCTCACTACTGCTGCCACACTTGATGCCATCAATGATGTCACCTGGCTGATCCATCTCGTTGGGGTCTTCCTCTTTTTCTCTGACCCTCCACCTTACCCAACATGACATCCTTCTCCAGCGACTATTCCCTCCTGACAATATATCCAAAGTATGAGAGACGAAGCTTAGCCATCCTGGCCTCCAAGGAGCACTCTGGCTGCACTTCTTCCAAAACAGATCTGTTGGTTCTTTTGACAGTCCATGGCACTTTCAGTATTCTCTTCCAACACCATAACTCAAAGGCATCAATTCTTCTACGATCTTCCTTATTCACTGTCCAGCTTTCGCATCCATGTGAGGCTATTGAAAACACCATGGCCTGGGTCAGGCGCACCTTAGTCCTCAAGGTGACATCTCTGCTCTTCAATACTTTAAAAGGTTCCTGTGCAGCAGATTTGCCCAGTGCAATACGTTGTCTGATCTCTTGACTGCTGCTTCTACGAGTGTTGATAGTTGATCCAAGAAGAATGAAGTCCTTGATGACTTCAATCTTTTCTCCATTGATAAGAATGTTGTTTATTGGTCCAGTGGTGAGGAGTTTTGTATTCTTGACATTGAGATGTAATCCATATAGAAGGCTGTGCTCTTTGATCTTCATAAGTAAATGTTTCAAGTCCTCTTCACTTTCAGCAAGCAAGGTTGTATCATCTGCATATTGCAGGTTGTTAATGAGTCTTCCTCCAATCCTGACGCCATGTTTTTCTTAATAGAACCCAGCTTCTCGTATTATTTGCTCAGCATACAGGTTGAATAAGTATGGCGAAAGAATACAACCCTGTCTCACACCTTTCCCAATTTTAAAACATTCAGTGTTCCCATGTTCTGTTCGAACAACTGCTTCTTGGTCTAGGTACAGATTTCTCAGAAGTACATTTAAGTGTTCTGGAATACTTATACTTCTCAATGTTGTCCACAGCTTGTCATGATCCACACAATCGAAAGCCTTTGCGTAGTCAATAAAGCACAAGTAAATATCCTTCTGGTATTCTCTGCTTTCAGCCAAGACCAATCGGATATCAGTAATGATATTTCTCTTTCCACAGCCTCTTCTGAAGCCTCTTTTGAATAGTGTCAGATAATCTTGTTCTAATTTTTTTCATGTGCAACGAGCCTTCAAACAGTTTAGAAAAATTCTAATATTTTTAAATTTCATTTTTATATGAACTTTCTAAAGTCCCATGTATTGTTGAATAAAAGAATGAACTCATTTGAATGTAAGTGATAAATCAGAAAAGCCAATGACATCAACATATACTCAAAAGAACAGTCATCTGGGTTTTCTTAGCTTCTACTTATGTTAGAGGAGTGCTGCTGTAGAATAAGCATTGGAATGCGAACCATAAGGTTGGCAGTTCAAACATTCCAGATGCTCCTTGCTGCTTGATCGCTGCGAGTTAAAACCAGCTCGGTGACACTTAGCAACAACAACAACCTGATTCCTAAAGTAGGAAAAGTTTGAGTCAAGTAAGTGCTCTCCTGGGGAGAATTTCTAGCTCTGTACATTGTTAGATGAAAATGATGTTGCTAAAACATTTTTGTTTCTTAGAGTTCTAGTAATGTATTTTTGTTTAAAAGAAAATATATAGCAAGAGCCTTTTCAAATAGATGATGGGGATTTTTTTCCCCTCGCTAAATCTAAAATCCAACTATTGATTCGTTTTACAGAAAATAATAAAGAATCAGTAAATCTCTGACTTGATTTTCAAAACAGCTTGAAGATGTTTGTTGTTAGCTACCATCAAGTCTCTACCAACTCATAGTGACCCTGTGCAAAACAGAATGAAACACTGCCCTGTCCTATACTAGCCTCACAATCATTGCTACATTTGAGCTCTCATCATGCCAGTCCATCTCATTGGGGGTCTTCCTCTTTTTCTCTGACTTTTCATTTTACCAAACATGATATCCTTCTCCAGGGACTGGTCCCTCATGACAATATGTCTGAAGTATGAGAGGAGAAGTCTGGCCATCTGAGCTTCCAGGGAGCATTCTGGGTGTACTTATTCCAAAGCAGATCTGTTTGTTCTTTTGGCAGTCCATGGTACTTTTAATATTGTCCTCCAATACCATAGCTCAAATGCATCAATTCTTCTATGGTCTTCCTTATTCACTATCCAACTTTCACATGCATATGAGGTTATTTAGTGCAAATACCTCAGGTCAGGCGCACTTTAGTCCTCAAACTGAATCTTTGCTCCTCAACATTTTAAAGAGATCATATGCAACAAATTTGCCCAGCGCATCATGTCATTTGATTTTGTGACTCTTGCTTCCATGAGTGTTGATGGTTGATTTGAGCAAAATGAAGTATTTGAGAACTTCACTTTTTCCATTGTTATGAATGTTGCTTATTGGTCCAATTGTGAAGATTTTTATTTTATTTTTTACATTGAGATGTAACCCATACTCAAGACTGTTGTCTTTGATCTTCATCAAAGATTTTAAGTTCTCTTTGTTTTCAGCAAACAAGGTTTTATCTTCTGCATGTTGCAGTTTGTTAATGAGTCTTCCTCCTATCCTGATACTATATTTTTCTTCACATAACCCAGCTTCTGAGATTATTTGATCAGCATACAGATTGAATAAGTATGATGAAAGAATATAGGCCATATGCACACTTTGCCTATTTTTCAACCATTCAGTGTTCTCTTGTTCTGTTTGAACAATTGCATCTTGGTTTATGTACAGGTTTCTCATGAGCACAATTAAGTATTCCAGAATACTGTCCATAGTTTGCTGTGATCCACAACAATCAAAAGCCTTAGCATAGTCAGTAAAGCACAGGTAAACATCTTTCCGGTATTGTCTGCATTCAGCCAAGATCCATCTGATGCCAGCAATGATATCCCTTAATGCACATCCTCTTTTGAATCTGGCTTGAACCTCTGGAAGTTCTCTGTCAATGTATGGTTGCAGCCGTTTAAAAATTATCTTTAGCAAAATTTTGCTTGCATAGGATATTAATGGTATTATCCAGTGATGTCTGTATTACGTTGGGTCACCTCTCTTTAGAATGAGCACAAATATGGATTTGTTCCAGTCACTTGGCCAGGTAGTTATCTTCCAAATTTCTTGGCATAGATGAGCAAGTGCCTCCAGTGCTTCGTCAGTTTGTTGAAAGATTTCAGTTTGTATTCCTCCAATTCCTGGAGCATTGTTTTTTGCTTCTAATGCATCTTGGGCTTATCTTCACTATCATTAATCACATGCTCTCTCTTGAAATGGTTGAACATCAACCCTTTCTTTTGGTACAGTGATTGTGTATTCCTTCCATCTTCTTTTGATGCTTTCTGCATCATTCAATATTTTGCACAGAGAATCCTTCAATAACGAAAGTCGAGGCTTGAATTTTTTTCTTCAGATCCTTTCGCTTAAGAAATGCTAAGCGTGTTCTTCTCTTTTGGTTTTTGAAAACTAGGTCTATGTACATTTTGTTAATAATATTTGACTTTGCCTGCTTGAACTGCCTTTTGAAATTCTCTATTCAGCTCTTTTACTTCTTCATTTCTTCCAATTGCTTTAGCATCTCTATGCTGGAGAACAAGATTTAGAGTTTCTTCTGACATCCATTTTGGCATTTGCCTTCTTTTTTGTCTTCTTAATGACCTTTTGCTTTCCACCTCTGTGATTTTCTTGATGTCATCTCACAACTCTTTTGGTTTTCAATCTTTAGTGTCTAATGCATCAAATGTGTTCTTCAGATGATCTCTAAATACGGTTGGATATGTTCAGGGTCATATTTTGAGTCTCATGGACTTGTTTTAATTTTCTTCAGCTTCAACCTGAACTTCCATATGAGCAATTGATGGTCTGTTACCACAGTCTGCCCCTGGCCTTGTTTGGCTGATCATATGGGGCTCTCCCACCATCTCTTTCTATAGGTTTGATTTCTGTGTATTCCATCTGGTGAAATCCATATATATGTACAGTAGTCTTTTATGTTGTTTAAAACACATATTTGCAAAGAAGTCATTGGTTGGTTGGTTGGTTGGTTGGTTATGTGCCGTGGAGTTGGATCCAACTCATAGTGACTCTGTACAGGGTTTCCGAGGCTGTAAATCTTTACAGGAGCCTCATCTTTCTCCCATGGGACAGCTGGTACTTTCGAACTGCTGACCTTGCGGTTTGCAGCCTGATTCATAACCACTACACTACCAGAGCTCCTTCAAGAAGTCATTGATAATGCAAAATTCTATCATACGGTCTCTGGCATCGTTTCTATTACCAAGGCCATATTTTCCTTACTCTTTGTTTCCAACCTTTGCATTCCAAATGGCAGTAATTATAAACACATCTTAATCAAATGTTTGAGCAATTTCAGACTGAAGAAATTGGTAGAATTCTTCAATT